TGTCAGCTACACAGTGGTGAAAACCGCATGTCTCTATCTCTTTTCTACCGCGAGTTATTCAAAAAACCGCAGGATGCCTTGTATTTTGAAACAGATAGTAGACAACGTTACGATACATTGCTATAGCAATGTATGTTTTCTCGAGGAAAAATGGAATGAAAAATAAAATAAATGGAAAATTGTTCACAGATATATGATGATCGGATTATGGAAGAAGATTTAGGATTATTGCTAAAACAAGTAATAGAGCCATTCTAACTCTGTTTATATCATGTTAAAGAGTATTTAAAAACTCTTTCAAAACTTCGAAGCAATTGATATTATTAGGACTTCGATCAGATCAGTTTGATCAGATCATCAATGTTAGATTATGTGACCTAAGAAGACGGCGTAACATTCTAGAAGGTGGTACCTTCTCTTTGATGTAATCTTGTAATATATATATGTGTGTTTGTACAGTCTGGGATCAGTTTTAGCAGTTATCAGTTTATTAGACTATCACCGTGTGTACTTCGAAAATGAAGTTTGTATAGAAAAAGTCAGATTATCAATCCTGGAAACATAATAATTAACACATAGCTTACTAAAATCTGATGCTCTTCCTACAATAAAAGTTTCATTGCAACACTCTCAGTACGCATGACATGCGATCGGTCTTCAGCACTAGCTGATATCGGCGCCTAGTAAGTATCGATTAGCACTGGCACTTTCATCATTTTTATTTATCGTCATGGTTCTGAATATTCATTATTGTTGGTGTAACTTTGCTTTTGTTTGTTATTTTTTTATTACTATTTTTATTGTATAACTTTGTGTATTACATGAAATATAAGTGTATTCATACTTGTCAAATAATAATAAGTATGACAAGATGATGATATTACCAAGTTGCTAAAATTAGATTTTAGTTATCCTTTCTCTCAGTTTACCTTATTTCATCTTATAAAATAATCTACCTTATTCTTTCATAAGCCTTTCTTGTTTATTTCTATCGTTTTTGAAGATAAATGAATCTATCAGTCCATATTTCTAATTTTGATCACTTCGCACACTTTTTGATTATTAAATATAAAACTCATTAAAAAATAAAATTTCATTTGACCTTCTTTAAATTTAATAATCTTCGAATTCATGTAATGACTTTTTTTCTCTTAGAGCCCAAAAAGTGTATGAAATAAGCACATTTCTTTTTATCGGTTACTGGATAGAAGTACAAAATCAAAAATTGTATGGTGATACATCTTCGTTATCATGTAGAATGAGTAGATAGCTAGCATGTGGCAAAATCAAAATCTCTTGAAAATCAAAAAATATCCAGGGTTTAAAATAATTAGAAGAAAAATTGTGGTAATTTTTGGTGAACTTCTGAAATGACTTTTAAATAACTTTATTTAACATAAAAAAGATGCAGTACATTCGGGAAGAGGCACGGTTTCCAATAGAGATTATTAAACTTCTGTCTTGAAATAAAATATCATAATACATAGTCCGTGTGGTTCATGCCAAATTCAGATATTTATAGAGGAGGTGTTTGCGCTGAACTGATTATTTGCTGTTGGTGTGGACTTGTCGGCGCCGGCGCCTGAGTACGTTCTGTGGAAGTTGGTGTTGTTTCGTTGAAAATAGGCAACGCATCTGGATTAGATTGTAGTAATTTGAGTGCTTCTTGAATTGTCTCAATATCATCTGCTGTAAACGTATAGCTATTGGTTGATAGATTACTATTATAATTATATTTTTGAGGTTCGATCTCTGCAAGTGTAATGTTTTTGATTTTATTGTTATTTGTTGTTGACGACGAACTACTTTCTTCCTGAGCCCCAGGCTGTGATTCTGACAAATTCTGATGATCGGTACTCTCTTTTACGGGGGGATACATTTCAGTTGCTCTATTCAACATATGAGGTTTTGCATCATAACGAATCGTTTCACTGCCTTTACTAGTAACAGGGAGATTACTGTTGTCACTATTTGACGGTCTGATCTGTTGCTGTTGATGTTGTTTTTGAGGTTTAGAAGGACTTCTTTTATCTTCGTTCGGCTGTGGCGGTGGATAAATTCTTTCAAAATATGATGGTATTGGTGGAGCATTATGTGGGCTTGTATCATCTTCTATCCATGCCTTTGTCTGCTCAATATCATGATAAACAGTTGTCTGATAATTATTTTTTGGTTGTTCTTGTTGTTTCGTCCCCTTCGTCGAAGGTTGAGCATTTGACGAGGAGGAGCGATCGTGTGATGATTGTTTGTTCCAATACGGATTCTCCCAGGGTTTTTCACGTGAAGATAACGAATGACTTTGCTGTAAATGCGAATGGTGATGAGAGTGAGGACCACTGGTCACTTTGCTTTTAGAACCATTTAATTTCGACTGTTGATTGACGTTAGAACGATCCCAATAAGGATTCGTCCACTTCGTCGAAGGTTGAGCATTTGACGAGGAGGAGCGATCGTGTGATGATTGTTTGTTCCAATACGGATTCTCCCATGATTTTTGACGTGAAGATAACAAATGACTTTGTTGTGAATGCGAATGGTGATGAGAGTGAGGACCACTGGTCACTTTGTTTTTAGAACCATTTAATTTCGACTGTTGATTGACGTTAGAACGATCCCAATAAGGATTCGTCCACTTCGTCGAAGGTTGAATATTTGACGAGGGGGAGCGATCGTGTGATGATTGTTTGTTCCAATACGGATTCTCCCATGATTTTTGACGTGAAGATAACGAATGACTTTGCTGTAAATGCGAATGATGATGAGAGTGAGGACTACTGGTCGATTTATTTTTAGAAGCATTTAATTTCGACTGTTGATTGATGTTAGAACGATCCCAATAAGGATTACCCCACACTTCTTGTTTACTGTTAAAATTTGATTGTTTCTCATCAACTTGTTCGGATGGTTTTATAGTTTGATTTACTTTACCTGATTTATCCCAGTATGGATTATTCCACGTAGACGAATTTGTTGATGTTTGATATTCGCCCGACTGATTATTTTTCCCTGATTGTGCATCATAATTCATATTGGGCCCTTGGAACAAATTTCTTGGTAAATTTTCATATTGTGGTTGAGTCGAGGCTGGCTTTTTACTGTCATCAGCTTTCCGATAAGTGGATGACACCTGATTGTCACTGTTTGAGAATGAAGATTGTTTATCCTCGTGTGAATTATCGATTTTACCACGATTATCAATCAATGTCGAATCTGCGTCATTCTTCCGCCAATACGGGTTGTCCCATGGGCTTTGCACAGATGTTGTTGCGTCTCTGTTTTTATCCCAATACGGATTAACCCATTCTGGAACCGTTTTTTGTGTTTGAGGCGTGTTACTTTGTTGCTCATGTTCACTTGCTCTTAATCTATTGTTTCCAATTCCTGTTGTATCTACTGTTTCTGAATCGGACGTATCGCTATCAGATACACTTGTTGCGGTAGCTGCTGACGGTCCAGTATATTGACCTTCGTTGACTTCGCGTAATACAGTGATTGGTGATGAAAATTGCTCTTCGTTTTGCTCATAGTCATTGGGTGTTTTTACATCATACCACGAATCTTGATTTGATTTCGGTGATTTATGTGACACATCAGCGGATTCTTCTACTGATGCATCTGATTCACTGTGTGAAGAACTTCGCCTTTGATTTCGGGACATCACTTTAAGGAAAAGTTAAATGTACATTGTCTGTGGTTTCAACAATACGATGGTAATACGTATAGTGGTTGTGGAAAATTGCGAATAAAAAAATGTTTGTTTATATGTCTATGCACAAACACATAATCGACAGTGCGTAACATAAACGACATCAGAGCAATGAGAGGGTATAGCTGTTTTACCTATTTGCTGTGTTATTCTGTTCTCAGGGATACTAATGTCGGTTAATGTTTTTGGTGAATCATAAACACGGAAAATGATGACGCACAGAGAAACGTTTGAAAGTGTATACTTTTCCTACCAATATATACTTATTAGCAGAATATGAATGAGTAACCCATCGTGACGAAACATTATCGTCATTCCAGTTGCGATGGAGAAAGATCAGTCGTGAATAATCAAGTTTGATTTTTAAACTTTGGATATATAATCACTAAAAGAGTTTCAATGCTTTCTGATCAGAACATCGGCTGCATGTAGAATATGTATTTATTTCAATTTAATTTGCTAGTTCGATGGAAATTCGACGTTTTTGGTCATACATGTTTGTAAGAATGATATCTTCACATACTGATATCATCATCTAACCATCCGGAAAATTTGATTTCTTCCCTCGTCCTACGCAGGCAAATTCTTCACACTGTGATCATGAGCACTAGTAATGCATTACTTCCCAGGCATAGACGTTTGTGAACTTGGCGATTATAAGATGCTGCGAGTATCATATTTTAATGTCTGTGTTCAGGCGTGAATAAATTAGTTGCACACTTGTAAATGAAGTATCACCCAATATCCCTTACTTTTCACTCGTTTATCTTGTATTCTTTTTAATTGAACTATTTATTTAAATGCCTAAAGATGGCCAGGTGGTCCACTACAATTTAATACGCTGCAAAAGCACTGTATCATAGACTGGCCACTATACTAGTACTATACCATACGGAAGACACATGTAAGTAGAGAGCTTTTAACCAGTTTTTTAGTGATGAATAGAGTCGCACACGACATGTTCAATATTTGCATAAAGGAGATAGGTGGAAAAGTCCATTTTCCATCCCCCAATATTTTTGAAAAAGAATTACATATTCGGCATCAGCGTCAAATTCTGCATTGAATGGCGTATTTGATTCACTCGAAAATCGACTTTCATTGCTTTTCGAAAAACTTTTTTTCTCAAATTTCAATGAAAGGTACATCATTCGATGCAGATTTTGACGCTGATTCCGAATATGTAATTCTTTTTCAAAAATATTCGAGGACGGAAAATGGCCTCCTTCCTTTCGTCTTCTTCTTTTCCACGTCGTTTACTAAAATCGTATTTATTATCTAAACAAACAAATGCACCAGATTGTTTACTTTTTGCACTGCAGGCCAACTTCAGCGAGAATCCAAGTTATGACATACGTATAGTTCACGAGAAGAATGAAGTGCTGTTCAATTCACACGATTACCGCTTTCATCGGGTGGACGAACCTTGCCAACAAGACTTTTGCCAACAGTGTTGGCCAATATATCGGCAAAGTTCCTTTTTGTTAATGTTTTAATTAATAAAACAAAAAACTTTGCCAGCATAATTAATTAGGTTGTTGGCAAAGTACTTCTTAAGTAAAATATGTGTATTAAATAGACAACATTTTTCTGTCATGTTTGAAATAGGTTCTTTTGTATTTTTAAAACTGTTGGCAAAGTTCTTTTTTAATCAGAACGTCGGCTGCATGTAGAATATGTATTTATTTCAATTTAATTTGCTAGTTCGATGGAAATTTTCTTTCAGAAAAAATCTTTTTTATTCTTAATTGCTAATTAATTAAAGTATTTTTTGAAAAAACTTTGCCAACAAATCTAAAATTTGTTATAAAGAACCTTGCCAACATTGGCAAAGTTCTAATTAAACTGTTGGCAAAATTCTTGTTGGCAAGTTCCGCCAATGTTCTATTAGAGTCTCTTCCTTTTCATTGAACAGTGGGATAACGGTTATTTGTGTTTGTAGCGTGATTGGTACTGAACTCTAGATCGAGTGCTTCTTCACACAATTGAACGATAAATACTTTAACGTCACGTTGCTCTTCGAAATGTTTCATACGCTCCTCAGCATATAATCCAATATGTTGAACTTGGAATACACATGCAATGTAAAATCGATTGTTTAACATACTCTGCATGTAAAATTTAAAAAGTTACATCGAGCAGTACCATATTCTATGTAAACCAACATATTACGAATGAGAAAAGTGCCTTCGATTACTTATTAACAGTAGACTATATATGATGTCATTAATTGTAAAGGATCTCAAGGACATCGCCGGGCGAGTAAAAATGCAGTTGGAATTTATATTATAGTTCTTTCAAAATTCTATCGGACAGTACCAAAGTCTTAATGGAATTTTGTTTAATTATAGGGAAAAATGGGTAGAAATAATGTGAAGGTCATACTGAGATGAAGTCTCAATCTGAGTATTTTATTTGGCATTATGTCAGTTTAGTCATGAAAGATGCCATTCAGGTCCTATCTGATGCAGATTTTCAAAATAAATTGTATATGCGCATACAAAAAGGTTTTAAACAAGTTGGAAAGAATCTAACAATCAATGGATTTTTTTAATGTATCAAAGTGTTTTGTTTACAAGATTGCAATGTAGAAATCCTTATCTTAGCTAACGTATGATATAATGTAGTTTCCCAATCTAACGTCGGTGATACCCAATAACTAAGGGAATTGTTTGTTAAATGAAGAGTTTCGCCAAAGTGGAAGAACCGTCAATTTGTTGTTGCACAATTGTATCGGATGGGATGATAGTTTTTCCATAAATATTTTCTGCAGTTCCGATTAAACTATCGCGCGCATTATATCCATATTAATTGATCCAATAATCTGGAAACAGAACACCTAGTTCTTTTATTCATATTACTCACTTTGATTTACGATCTTTAAAGAAGCCATTCATTTACTTGTCTTCTTGCTATTAGAAAAATGAACAAGGTTTTCCTTTCTACTAGTTGCAGAAAAATCTTGAATTCACTATGGCGCTATAGTCAAAATTCGATTACAGATAATTATGAATAGTAAACGTCTCCAGTTTTACTTCTTTTTACTACCTATTTTTTCTTAAGTGCATGTATGATTATGGTGCTTTTATACAGACATGTTTTTCAACTACATAAAATAAGAATAATATTGTAAGATGCACCCAGGGCAGCCTTGCAGTGAAATTTATTTTTCGACACTTCATACACCATTCGATAGAGAATTTCGCGGTGATCACGAATATCACTTCCAAGGCTCTCAGAACCCTTTCCTCACTG